CGGGGGTGCTCAGCCCCGCGGCTCTTTTGGCGTGGGCACAGGCCGCAGTTGCCCGTCATGGTGGTTCTGAGCAGTTCGCCCCGGCCATGGCCCCGCGGCAAGCGGCGCCTTCGCTTGGGCTCATGGCCTGGTGGCACACGGAGCGCAACGCCAGGTCCCTCCCCGTCCCACTGGGGCTCGCCTGGACCAAATAATATCTCCCAGGAGCACCCAGATCCCACAAGGACGGTGGGAAAGCCACCCGCCCTCGGGGACCCGGCCGGAGATGCCCCAAAGCCGCTCAAGGTGTGGGGAGCGGCGGACACGGCACCTCCCCGCGCCGATTCCCCGCGTGCACAGGCAGATGCAGATTAGATAGATCATTTGGGGAGGGAGACGGGTTTATAATCCATCTGTATAAATTCTTGGCATAGTTTTCCGAGGATGTGGAGCGTATTTACCTGTTTTCAAGGCTGACAAAGGGGGTGAGTGGGTCTGGGAATCCCTGCGGAGAGGGACGGGCTTTGCCCCCCACCTCCATGTGAGGCTGAGGTGGGAAATGCCTCTTTCTCGGTCAGTGTTGGCAACTGGGATTTGTTTTTAATTTTGTGCAAGAAAAAAACCCACCTTTCCTTGATTTCAGTTGAGAAGGACCGTGGGGCCAGGCCTATAAACTGTTTTTCCAGTATTACAAAGCACTCCTGGGGTGGGTCGGATTGTTTTTTCCATGTAAAGTCCTGGTGAAGATTGGACAATTAATGGTTGGGTTTTTTTTTCATTTTGGTGACAGAAGCAAAAAAAAAAAAAAGGGCTTGTGTTAATCAAAAGGTTTTCCTCTGGCTTTTTAGGTAGAAGAAAAAAAAAAACCCAAAAGGCCAAACAAACACTCAAAGGTTTCATTTTGGGTCAAGTCCAAACATTTTGTTTAACATGAAACAAAATGTTTGGGTTGGTTTCAGGTTAACCCTTTTGAATACGGTCAAGCTGATTTGTAAAGAAAAATCACTGCTCAAAAATTAAGAGCCGAATAATTGTTTTCAAAGCTCAAGTGTGAAACAAGCTGGAAATAGGAAGGTGAAGCCTTTCTGAAAATAATAAAATGGAGGGAAACTCCTGTTATTTTTTCCTAAATGTGATGGGTTTTTTTTCCAGCCAAAACGCTGCCAAATTTTATTTAATTTCAGAAATCACATCTACAACCCCCGAGTCATTTGTTCGACATTTTAAAAGCGCGCTGTGTTGCGCTGGCTCACGATTTCACTCCGGGAGAGCGATGCCTTTGGCTTAGTTGTGAACCGAACTGCTATTAGAAATGGTAATGAGCTCTGTTCCATTAACTTATTATTAATCAGTAATTAGCAGGATCAGTTAGGTGACATGAACCGCTCGTGACAAAAGCCCGTGGGAGCCCCTCGGCTCGGGCGCGGCGGGCTTTGCCCCGGGGAAGGAGCGTGCGGAGGGGACCTGCGGTGGAGGGACGTTGGCTTCGCATCCTCCTTGTTGGCTCCTGGGGCAGCACGAAGACCCGAGACCCCCAAAACCCCGCGGCCGGCCCCAGAGGGGCAGCGAGCACCCAGCAGAGAGGTGTCCCCACCAGCACCCGTGGTTGCCGTGGGGCTGCCGCCCGGTGCCACGTGTTTTGGGGACAGGAGCTGGTTTTTCTGCTTGCACCGTGCGTAGCCCAGGCTGGGGGCCGGGCTGCTGGGGGCACCGGAGCTGCTGCGTCCGCGTGCCCGCGCCGCGCAGAGGACACGGTCTCCGTGGCGAGGGTCCTCACCCGGAGGATGCAGGATTGGGCACAGGGACGTCGTGTCCTCCCCAGGGTGACACAAATCCCCCGCCACCGTCAGCTGGCTGGCCCCGGTCGGGTACTTTTCCTTTGGATCCAACCAGCTTTGTTTTCACGCTGCGTTCAGGACAAAAAGTAAGAAATCTACTCGTTGGTTTGGCTGGGTTGTTGTTGGGTTTTTATTTTTCCCTTGACAAGTTGAAGGATCCAAAATAAGTAATGAATTGGGAAAGCAGTCGGACGGTTATTCCAAGCGCAGCGTTAGAGTATCGCATTATTTGAGTGCATGACTGTGACCAGGCTCAGGCTCCACACCGATTTTTCAGTGTTAAAGCACTTCCTTTTAGCCCAGCGTCCTCCTGTCGGGCAGAATAAACCCAGGGGTCTTGAATACAGCGAAGGCGTGTTGGCCTGCTCCTCTGCCACTGCGCCGTGATTTCCTTCGAGCTGAAGAACGCAGCATTTTGATTTTTGGCTGCAATTTTATTTGTGCCCCAGATTGGTGTCAGCTACCCCAAGGACGCCAGTAATGCGGATTTAGGAAAAGAGTCATTTTACACCTGCATCCTGCAGGAGCCGAATTCAAGTGTTTAAATATATTCAAGAATGGTTTAAAATTATTGGTGGGGGGCTGGGTGTTGGTTTTGTTTTTCTGTTCGGGGACTGGCTTGGGGTTGTGTGCCTGGTTTGACCTTCGCTTCTCAGCCTTTCGCGTGTGGCCCGTGTGTGCGCCTCGCTGTTGTGGGAGCGTGGAATTAGGGTCAGTTTTTAAATGAATATTGAGATTTTTAGATAATTGTCCCTTCAGGAATGGAAGGGGGAAGATAAAGCAGCAAGTGCGGCAGGTGGGGTTTGGTGGCCGCGAGGGGGGTCCCTGCCAGCCGGTGACAAGCCCGGGGGGCACGGGACACAGCGTGGGGGCCACATCTGGGAGCAGGGGCAGGAAAAACATCCTTGGTATCTCCAACTGAGAAGTTTCTCTTTGGAGAACTCTCCCCATGGGCTTCCCGTACCCGTACCTGCGTGTGTGTGTATCCACTGTGGGTGCAAGAAATTGCAGTGACCAAAGTAACGGCAGCGGTTCACGGATTGCCAGCATTTAGAATAGAATAGAAAAAAAAATTCTCCTTGAAGGAGAAAGAAGCATTAATGAGGCCTCGATGTACCCCGTCAGGACTTTCTACTTCTTTTTACTTCTCCCTCCCTGAGTGACGAGCATGGTGGGTGTCCCCAGGGTGGCCGTGGCACCCTCCAAGCCCCCGTCCCGCCACCCCAGGATGGGGCTGTTTTGGGGAGCTGGGATGGCGGTTGGGGAAGAACGGATGCTCAAGGGATCGCCTGTCCTTCTGAAACGGGTTTCGCGATAATAACGGGTTTCCGTCATGGGAAGGAGCGAATTATCGGGGTGCTTTTCCCCCACTGCAGACATTAACCCTTCGTTTCCCTCCCCGTCCAGCGAGGACCCGTGGCGGGCGGCGAAGATGATCAAGGGGTACATGCAGCAGCACAACATCCCGCAGCGGGAGGTGGTGGATGTCACTGGCCTCAACCAGTCGCACCTCTCCCAGCACCTCAACAAGGGCACCCCCATGAAGACGCAGAAGAGAGCCGCTCTCTACACGTGGTACGTCCGCAAGCAGCGGGAGATCCTCCGGCGTAAGTACCGGCGCCAGCGCTCGCCCCTCGGGGCTGGCCGGGGGTTGAGGGGGTCCCCGCGTCCCCGTCCTGCCTGTGGGTGTCCAGGGCTGGGTGAGGAGCAGCCCCCTGGCAGAGCCCCCTGGACTCAGGCAGCATCTTCCCCTAGTTTTACAAGTAAAACCGATTTAAGGCACAGGAAACCCCGGTGAGAGCCCCCCTGGGTCACAGTAACACCGCGTGAGTTCCCCCAAACCCGTCAAAACGGCTGAGTTATCTGTATATTTATATTCATTAGAGCTGGGAAAGCAATTAATGATTACACACGGCTAGATGCCTTTCCCACCTCTGAATCACAGAATCATGGAATCGTCAAGGTTGGAAAAGACCTTGAAGATCATCTAGTCCGACCGTTAACCTCACGCTGACAGTTCTCTGCCCCCTTTCCCCCTCCGTTAAGACTGCTCATTTTTGGAAACTACTTGCAAAAAAAAAGGAAAGAAAGAGAAAAGAAAAAGCCCATAAATGGCTCCTACCTGTAGCACAGTTTTGGGGCAGCCCGTGCTATTTAAAAAGCAGATGATTTTGACCTATTTATATTATATTATTATATATAATAATAATATATATTAATTATATTATATGATATTATTTATATTGACACAGCCTATTGCTTTTGTGCCCCTCTCCCACCCACCCTGACCCCGAGGTGGTCTCATATCGCTCCGAGCAGCCCCGTTTTCAGCCGAGGTGCAGGTTGGGGCACTGACACCCCCCTTAAAAGGGCTCTGTGCCTCCCTCCTCCAAAAGGATGCAATACCCAGCGGACGGGAAGGGCAGAAAAGGGTTTAGCACCGAATACCTTTGCTTTGAAAACACACCTGGAGACGTTAGAGCAAACAGAGCCTGCTGCAGCCTTGCCCAGCGCTTCCCCCCTTGTCACAGGGGCAAGAGCCATTATAAAAAGAGGGAGAATTCCGCTGCAAAACTGAGAATAATAAAACCCTCCCATTAATCTCCCTTTACTGCCGCGGTGACAAGTGCCGGGTCTGAGGCGGGCTGCCGGGGAAGGTCACCCCTGGCTCCTGCTCACCCCCGGGCATGGGCCCTGAGTCCCACCGCGCTGGGACAGGAGCGGGAGCCGGAGGGGAGCTCCGGGCAAGCGGAGGGACCCTCTCAGGGGGCTTTGCAGTTGCCCTCCCTGGCTCCTAGCCTGCAAAAATCCTCCCAAAACGAGTG